TAACATCAGATCAATAATTACGTAAACAATATCCCAATGAAGAAACTGCCAAACAAGTAAGCAGCCCAACCGAAGAACCTATTAGACCATTCCCCACCAGTACAGACAGGAAAGCCACTAGATTGGAATATAAACTGATAGCAAACTGCACTCCTTACTAGCACTGATGATACCTAATTTAGGTAATGCAACGTCTGCAAGAAAACAAGTACAGAGAGCACCAGGTAGCTTAGTTTTTCTTTCAGTATATTATTTTTAAATGATTTTAAATTTACTAATTAGTGTTTTACTGCTTAATATATTAGCCCTGCAAACACCAGTATTAACAACAAAATACAGCAGAATAAAAATAAACCCTAATTTCTCAAAATGAAACTCCAGTTGATCTAGGTCTGGATCTCTCAAACTACAGAGTAGTAATTTATGCTAGATGGCACCATTTTACTAACTGCATCTTCCTTCTCCCTTTTAAGAAAAATAGAACCATAATAAGAAATCCTCTTGCTCTTACTGTATTATACTTAGAACTGAAAAGAGCAATCCAGCATTTTATTTTATTGTTCCAATGAAGGTTGCTTGGCATTGTTAGAGGCTTATATGATTACTCTACTCCTCTGTAAAAACCTCTCCTATGCCTTTTTTGACCAGTTGTTCTTTTCATCTAGCTCTTTGAGCGCACCTGCCATCAATATGATAAACTGCGCAAGCGTGAAGCCTTCCTGGAACAGTTCCGAAAAGAAGACATGTTCAAGGAGAATTTTGATGAACTTGATGACTCCCGAAAGGTTGTCCAGGAGTTGATTGATGAATATCATGCTGCCACTCGGCCTGACTATATCTCTTGGGGCACTCAGGAGCAATTAGTTAATTAGTAGTGTGCTTTTTCCTGTCTGGAGTATTTTCTTCTTGTAACAAATTATCTTAAATCTGTCACTGTTACTTATATCTGGAAGTAGTTTATTTATTGAATTTATATTGTCGTCTGTTTGCCCAATGGAGACTTCATTGAGAAGGGATTCTTTCTATGCTGTTGGGTTTATAACTATTCATTTCGAAGTTCAAAGTTACAACTTTTGACTTTTACATTTTGCAATCTTAGGATCGTTGCAGTATCCGTGGTCACAAGATCAAAACTCAGATACTTGGCAACTGGCATGTATTTATGATGGTTGCAGTATCCTGGGGTCATGTGATCACCTTTTGTGACCTCTGACAAGCAAAGTCAATGAGGAAGCCAGATTCACTTACAAAACATGTTACTAATATGACAATGCAATGATTCACTTAACAACTGTGGCAAAAAGCTCATAAAAATGAGGCAGTGCTCTTATTAAAAACTGCTTTGCTTAGCAATGGACATTTTGGATTTAGTTCTGATTATAAATCAAGGGATACCTATACTTGGTGATCTATCATTAAGTCCAGCTTCCTCCTTTCTACAGGAATCTGGCTAGATTAACATCAATGTACCAATTTCTGTGGCTTATTTTTAACATTCTTAAAAGGCTTTTTCTGTCTTATGCTATATTCACTTGCACTTGCGCTTATTTAAACATATTTCTGTTGAGGAAGTCTCAGAGTGGATAATGAAGAGAAATATCTACAGGCATTTTAAAATAATCCAAACCTGTATTTCCTGTATAAATTTCTGGCAATTTTGTATTACTTAGCATTTAATATACAGCTCTATTAGCATATAATTGATGAAGACTGATTAAAACAGGAAGAGTAAGCTAGGCAGTGGAGGCCTGGATATCTGTGTAGTGATCTATGCCAGCAGTTAAGAAGTATCGTGAACCTACTTTGGCAAAGATTGGTCATTTTGTCACTGATCTTTATATTTTAAGTTTGCCATCTATTTCTTAATGACACATATTGCAGGTGTTACAAGGCATGAATGCAAGAAATTACAATTGCTATAATAGCCAAGACTTCATATCATTTGAGCAGTTCACTTTATTCTTCTGTTGCTTGCCTGCCACAGTGATTTTCAATAGTTAATCTGCGTGTTCCTGTGTCATTAATCCTGCTGCCCTTGTCACTTTCAGTTGACCATCTGAGAGTTGGCAGCATTTTTAATACTTGCTTTACTCCCTTTTTAGAGTTCTGCTTAATGTTTCCTCATCTTTTCTCCTCCCTGAAAGTAGCTAGTAAATACCCTCATTGGATCCTGTCTTGAAAAGGGAGAGTTTTATGCCAATTCCATATTTCTATCATAATTGGTTATAGTCTTGCTTAAAAGAGTCAGACTACCAACAGCTTAACTGACGGGAAAAAAAACTACCAACAGCTTAACTGACGGGAAAGTTGGTGTCAGGATAGTGTTGGTGTCAGGATAGTGAGTTGGTGTCAGGATAGTGTATTCACTATCCTTTTTATGCTTTCCTGCCCAGTGGAATGCCAAAAATAAAAGTATGTGAAGAAGCTTGGGACTCTGCCTGACTGCTTGCCAATCAGCAGGATAGTTTTCCAAAAACAGAATGGGACCAGATTTGCTATGTGGGAAGAACCTGGCCAAAGAAAGATTAGAAAGTAAGCCAAAGCAATTTGGAGAAAAACTATTTGGAGGAACTTCACCCAATGCATACCTATGGGATGGGCTATTGGGCAGTGAATCAGAATGACCTTGCTATTTTAAGTCCCTCCCTCCTCTTCTAGTCATGCAATTTAAAATGGAGCAGGCTTGGAAAGAATTTTAGAAGCCAGATTGCTATTAGCCTAATTTTTAGGAAAAGTAAAATAAAAAGGTGATGTTTTATTATAGCATTGTGTATGTTGGTTTTTGTTTTTTTTTAATAAAATCAGTATTTAGCCATTTGGGAGTTTGTATCTTCTGGTTTAATGTGTGTTGATCAGAAAAGCAGAACAATGCTTAATTTTAAGAAATCAAGGTTTTTTTAAAACAATATTTTATCTATTGTATAAGCCATTCTCTTTATGTGAAAAATAGTTGCAATTGTTTAGAAGCATTTTTTTCTTTTTTGCCTTTAAAACATGTTCATAATTTCTGGATTCCTATGGAAAGAGAATCTAAAGTGGGTTATGATGTTCACTATCTAACAGAAGGTACAAGTGCTTGGGAAAACACGCTGGTATTCTTTGGCTTTAATGTGTAGGGTTTTCAGGCATCCTTTTAATATATCTTGATCAGTAATATCCCACAATAAGGCTACAGGTAGTTCTTGATTTACAACAGCAATGGAATCCACCACTAATCATATATTGTGACAGTCATTAAGGCGCCCTGTGATTGCCTTAACAATCCCTGTTTCCCCTATTGCAATCATCAAATGAACCATGGGGTGCTTCAGGAGTGGGGAGGTGCTGGGAGATGCAGGCCAGGCCAACCACAAAGAAAATAATGGCTCTGGCTTGTTTCTACATCCTTTATTTGATAGATTATGTCAGTAGGAATAGTGTACCAGGTATTATCCAGATGAAGGAAAGGAACAGTAGTAAAACTCTTCAGCTTTCTTTGGAACAAAGGGGTGTTTTTTTTTACACAGGAGAACAGAACAAGGAGACACTTTGTATAAAAAGTATTTAATCAGAACAGATGTGGAAACAGAAAATTCCTCTGAATAGAAGACATAGTTTATCAGCTCCTTAGGAGCAAACAGTATCACTATTATTCTTTTCAAATGACCAGAATATATGCTAATCCAAGACTCCTGCCAGGATACCTAGGAGTCAACTCAAAATTCTACCACTGGCATTTTTGGAAATATTTCCCTGTTCATGTGATTATTGGGAGTTCTTGTCTGTTGACGCTGCAGGATTGTCTTCATCTGAAAAAAAGAAAGCAACAGGTCTTTGGTGGCAGATAAACACTAGTGTCCTCCCAGCAAATAATTGCCTTCCAAATACCTTCTCTTGGACAACCCCAAAACAAAGAGATAATTAAAAAAGGGTTTAGTATACATCCTTCCAGTCAGAAAAGCTGGAGAAATGTTAAGGATCCAGAACATATAGAAATGTTCTGAATACTAGAACTGCCTGTGGAACTTAGTTTGCTTCAGTCAATCTGCATGCACAGCTAATTAGTTACCCTGGTAAGAATGCATTTCTTGTTCAAATTTGTCAAAGTTGGGTAAAACTAACTTGCCATATTAAACAAACCACATATGGGGTTTATAGATATATGCCCTGAGTTCAAGCAACCACATTCTTATAGTTTTATGTTAAATATTTAACATATGCATTAATCAAATATCACACACAAGAGTGCAGAGCTTTCTGTCTTCAACAACCCTACATTTGTTACTGGTCCTTTTTTTCATAGTGAACAGACTTTCATCTTTTTGGATAAGATGTACAGATTGTTAACAGAAAGAACTAGCATATTTTTTAAAGTTAGACTAGGACAAATAATGTGTACCATCTACATTTATTCCTCTGTATCCAATTCCTGTAATAGTCTCAATATATAATAAGGACATGATTGTAACTACTTACCAAAAGCAGCACTTCAGTTCTAGATTGGCATTATTTCAAAGTCAAATAACCTTTTTCAACTTTCTCTGCTGGGTTTACTATGCAGAGTGTGGATGACAGGAATTTCATCACTTAAGCAATATGGGCCAATTACATTTAGGAATATTATATAGCTCACCTGAAAGTCCTAAAGGTTAGCATTCCCCTGGGTGTAGAACAAGTTGACTCAGTTGGGAACAACATACATTGGCTAACTATGTATAAAGGTGGAGGCACAAGGGATATTTGCAGCAATACATTAAAGCAAAATTCACCCATCAAGAGATGTTAAAATGATATCACACTATCTCAGCTGCCTCTGGGCAATTCTCATATGCATCAACTATTCTTAATAGAAAGGAGAATAATTCCTAGTCCTAATTAAGACCCTAACCAAACTCCTAAAATATTTCCATGTGCCCTTTCACATAAATGGCTTTGTCCAAATTGGTACCAATCTATTTTCATATTCTCCAGATGGAGTAACTCACCTGGTAATACCCTGGAAAGGACAGAGCTAATCACTTTCCAGACTTGTTCAAAGTGGCTTCCATGACCTTCAGTTGTCCCATACTTCATTTCATGATGTTCATGATGGCACATGTCAGAAAAATAGCTTTCAGGGTACCACTGGGAAGATGTTCTTGCTTCTCTTCTTATTGTTTGGCCAAAGAAGATCCAAAGTCCAACAGACAATGCCCTAACAAAAAAGATCCTGAAAGTAGGCAATAGTATGTAGTTATAGGATGCTGAAGGTAGTAGAACATAAGAATAAAGCAGGTTAATAATACAAACCAGCTGTATTAACCTGCTATTAACCTGTATTAACCTCAAATTCTGAGTGTCTCCTTAAAGATAGGAAACTACTACTGGTGGACAGCTTATATGTCTGAAATAACAAATTGTCAGACAATGCATGTTAATTTTGGAATAAAATTAGGGACAGACATCTTAGATTGAGTGACTATTTCCTACTATTTCAAAGTTAACAATAGGGATTTCTGACTTAACAGAATGCACTGTTTCCAAATTGTAGCTTTAAAATCTTGCAAACATGAATTTTTATTTTGCTTAGTTCTGTCCCACCCCTGACAAAGGGAGACTCTTTTGTTGCAAAAGCATGCTACAAGAGCTGTGGTGGTGCAATGGTTAGAATGCAGTACTGCAGGCTACTTCTGCTGGCTGCCTGTAATTTGGCAGTTCAAATCTCATCAGGCTCATCCTTCCAAGGTGGGTAAAATGGTTGGTTGCAGATTTATGCAATATGCTGACCCTTTAAAACCACTTAGAGAGGGCTGTAAAGCATTGTGAAACAGTATGTAAGTCTAGCATGAGTGCTATTGCTACTTTTATTTATGTGTTCCTTCATTCATATATTTTCTACAATCATCTCTCAAATACATTATTGCATTGTTGCCCAATAATGCTTAAAAACAAAATACAATGATAAATAAAAAAATGATAAATAAAAACCTATACAACACAATCAGCAACCAAGGTGTAAAAAGCCTCCCTTCCTGGATCTTGCCAGATGGCATTCGTTACAGATGGGACCCAGATCACACCTCTTCTGAAGAATCTAATGGGATTGGTTGGTGTAATTGGGGATAGGCAGTCCCTCAATAAGCCAGTCTGATGCTATAATGGTTGCTGCAACCAGACACGCTCTGGACCTTGGTTGTTGTTGTTTTTTTGTTTTTTTTCCCAATCACGATTCTAAACATACTGTCAACTCTTGGCCCCTTTTTTTCAATTTAGCTATAACTGACACACATATTTTTGTGGGATTTTTTTTTCATACCTGATAAAACTATTTAATACATTCTTTGAACAGGGTTGCTTATACTGCCAATTCTCCATGTGGAAGATAAGTGAATTGGGGATACAGGTCACACCCAAATGCAACACCAGTTCTTGAGACATCTGGGATAAGGCGACAAAGTGGGGGATGACAAAAGGCCTAGTAATGTCCAGTAGGAAAGTACTCAGTGCTGCAAACATCACAGTGTCAAACATGCTGAAGAAAGATAAACGGGATGAGGGGAGGAAGAAAATGATTCAACAATTTATATAGACAATAAAAAGCCAAATCTAATTGTTCTACCAGACTTCTTACAGTTGGTAAGAAACTAGAGTTGTAGAACCTGCTATTTCTAAGAGGAGATAGAAGTTACATTGTTCGTCTTAGCTACCCTTTTTTGCATTCCACCAATTAAGCAATCTGCTCACCTTCTGGGCTGTAACATTAGATGTGATGGCCACATAACAGGTGGTAGTACCAGGACAATGTGTGGAGTGTGGGATTTCCGGGCTTTCTATTAGTGTTGCAATCTCATCCAAAGAGGGCACACACTCCCGTCCTTTGCTTTTGTGCAGGGCTTGTGTGATTAAATGTCCATAGTGGGTCACTGCTGATCTTGGGAACAGTTTCTCCATCCTATTGGGTCAGGGAAGATATGGTATTAGGTGAGTGATTCCATTAAATCTCATTAATAAACATACTGCACTGACTTCCCTCCACCATGGCATGCTGAGGTGGTGATGGTGGTGATTTGTTTCTCCTGCCAACAAATAACTGATTGGTTATTTGTGGCAGATAGGAAGAGCACTCCAGAGGGTTAACGTCACTTCCGAGAAAATCATTGGTTGTCTTCTACCCTCTTTGGAAGAGCTTTATAGCTCCTGCTGCCTTAAGAAAGTTCAAAACATTCTTAAAGATCCACCTCATCCTGGGCATCCTTTTTTTGAACTATTACCATCTGGCAGATGGTACAGGATAATAAAAACAGGACAAACAGGTTGAAAAACAGCTTCTATCCCAGGGCAGTAGCTCTTTTTAATTCTACTGTATGGAGCAGTATTAATGCAATATCAGGGGTTTTCAATTCAATGTATAGAATGTGAAGGATGTGTTTGTGTTTATTTTCATAGTCATAATATACACTGAAGATGGTATTTAATTTTGTTATACGAGGTGCAATGACAATAAAGTAAACTAAACTAAATTTTGCTGCCAAACCAAGTGCATTGGCTGCCGGCACATATGGGAGTGGCTAGGAATGACCTAAGATAATTCTTGGACGACTGTGGATCCTCCTGGGAAGAGGAATCCTGGAGGTTGCAATTCCTAGAAGGGGCATTTGGAGAGTTCCGGTTTCCATCTTTCCTTTCAGTTATTTGCTTTTTTTATGCTCACCTTCACTTTTAACTGCACATTTCAAAGTTTTGTTTTAATTCTTAGTTTTAAAGTTAATTGATTGACTGAAGGCTGATTTACTCTAATCATCTTCTGGATTTTAATGTTAAATTTCCTTCTTTGCTTTACTGTTTTTTTCCCTCTGAGCTACTTTGGCTTTTATTATGAAGCTAATTGGCAACTTTCTGAGTAAACTGACCAGACTGGATTCACATCTATATAGGATTTTACTACAGAATTTAACTTTTAAAAAGCTTTGGTCTGGATTTTTTCTTTTCAAATTTTTGAATTTTAAATTCCCCTTTCCCTTTTTTTCTTCAATGTTCTATGTGGCCATTTGTTGCAGTAAGATTTATCCTTTTCGTTTTTGAAAGAATTTGTTTTCTTTGATTGTGTAAGTTAAAAGAGAGTCTGCCTTCTGATAAAAATGCAAATAATGCATCAACTTAAAGATAAAGCCTGGTGGGCTATCTTCAGAAAAAAAAAGTTTTTAAATCTACAACTTCAAAATCTTTGGTTAAAAGCTTAATAAAATTATCTGCAATTCAGGTCAACCTAAAGAGAATATCCTATAAAGCTAGACCAACAAATGGATGGACTGGAATCTAAGTTTATGAAGAAGAAGTTTGGTTGGAAAGCAGGCAGCCTGTTGCAGAAATCTGAAGGAGATCTGGATTTTACAGATTTATAATTGGCAAATTTGACTGATCAACTGGACTTTGTTAAAAGGATGGATTTATCATACCATATTGTTAAATAATTTGGATGGGATTTTCCTAGGAAGATGGATTGATTTTGGAAAATGGATTTATACCTAATCAGACAAAAATTGACAAGAGACTTTATACCTTAGTTCACAGCAATAATGGGATCCTACCTTAGTCACTACCAGGGGGTAAGCCCCTATTGTGCGAGCATCTAAAAAGCCAATCAGCTGAGAGGGTGAAAAAATGAAAAACTAGAAGCGATCTTCCCCCCCTCCTATGCATTTTTCGGTCTTTTATCCTCTCAGCTGGTTGTTGGGGACTTTCCCCTCTCAGCTGATCAGAGGCTTTTTTTAAACTACCGGTTCAGCAGAACTGGTAGTCATTTTTACTACTGGTTTGCCCAAACTGGGCCGAACCGATAGCATACCGCCACTGGTTCAGTGAGACTGCTTCAGCAGTGAATATGGTGGATATATTTACAGCAGACGTTTAGGATATTGGAAGATGAGTTATTGTTGGGAAAGCTTCCACTAAAAATCTTAAGGAAACTTTTATTATTAAGAACCAAATGAAGGTATTTGATCCTGAATAGATCAGAGATAATGATTGTAGTGATTTGCAGAAGATAAGAAACCATTGTAGAATTTCTCTGAGTTAAATACAATGACAAAGGGCTTTGAAGTTTAATTTTGCAGTTGTTTTACCTGTTAACTATTTTATTTTTACCTATAGTAAATAGATGGTAGACTAAGTTGATTGTAAATACATGCTGAAGTGTATAGAATGTGGGCCTGCTTCACAAGAGGGAGAAACTAGCATTGTTGCAATATATTTGTCAGTAATCAAACAGCTAGTATAATAATTGTACATGTTTTTGTTTTTTGTCCTTTTTAAGGGGGTTGTTGTTTGTTGGGGTTTTTTGGAATTTGTATTTTAACTTTTTGAACAAAATAAAAAAATTACTAACACATGAAATTGTTTGGAAGGTTTTGGGTGGAGGGCATATTTCGGGGTTTCAGAAACTCCTGCTGGATTGAAGCTGTTTTTCAAATATTGTTCCTTAAACATTCTGAATCAAACTGAAGAATAAAGAATTAGATATATGAAGAATATTGCATCTACAAAAAGATTCCTTCTAAAGGTCTGCCTTGCACATTGCTCATATATGTCAAATGAATTATCTTTCTAATCCACTTCCTGCCTACTAGACCATAATGGAAATTTATTGGCAACTGAAATTATGTTGTCTCTGAACACATTAAAAAGGGAGGGATCTTTAGTCACACCCTTGTGAATATAGCATATAGAACAAAGAAGGAGTTGAACACAGACAACCCTTCCTTTCATTTCTTTCAGATTAGGTGAAATAGTTTTTGCCAGTTGCTCTGCATCCAGTTTGTGATTAAAGTTTGTGACCAAACTATTCCACTAACAATGGGAACTCATGGTCATCCAACTATTGCTGAACTACAGCTACCAGCAAAGCTACTATAGCAACTAGCAAAGCGCTAATGATGAAGGATGCTATGAGTTGTAATTCCTCAACAGGTGGAATATCCCAAGTTTCCACTTCTATATGAAACATGTTTTGCAATGTTTCCAGAGGTGGTATTCAGCAGGTTCTAACCAGTTCTGGAGAACCAGTAGCAGAAATTTTGAGTAGCTTGGAGAACTGGCAAATACCACTTCTGACTGGAGATTTTACAGTATCCTTCACCTGCCATGCCCACCAAGCCACACCTACAGAACCAGTAGTAAAAAAAAATTGAATCCCACCACTGAATTTTTCCCATTTCCCTGGCTTACCGCTGCAGATGCAGATGCAAATAGCAGAGTATAGGCACAGAAGGTATAAAAGTATAGCTCATGCACACAAGCAGCTGCCAATAGCGCAAATCTGTGGGTGCCCCTGGAATAGGTGGCTCTGTTGTCTGTTTCACCAGTTGGCAGAATATTTCATCCACCAGGGCTGGAAGGTCATGGCAAGTTTGCAGCACTCCCTGCATGAGAAGGATTGGATCTTGCAATTCTTCAAGCTGTTGTAGTGAATGGAAGAGTTTGACAGCTTCGTCACGAAGTCCTGCATAACCTTGGCCACCCTGAGCTGCAAAATTGGGCAAGATAGGGTGGGAGGAAGAAGATAAGAAAACAACAATTAGTACATTTAAGATCTGTATAAGCTCTTGCTCTCATTTTCTTCTCTGTAGGCAGAGAACTGAAATATTTCACGTATACAGTTTGCATTTAGGTCAAGTACTTTAAATATTGAGGAGTATAGAATTAATTTTCATTTAAATTCAATACAGTTGATATAATAATTTTTTAAATATTTAACAATGTTTCCTTTCCGGAATCTTAAATTTTAGTGGGGTAGTGAGTTTTTGAGTGTCCCTCTGGGCCATGCTCCTGAAAAACCACAAACAACACAACTTTACCATATAACAAATAATGAAGTCAATAAATTAAGGATTCTGATTACTAGCTAAGAAACACAACCCACCTGCATAAGGGAAGGGCAGAAGAGGTGCATAAATTGGACCAGCTGTATAACGTAGGATGGGATTATTGCGATAAATTTGATCCAAGATTTCTGGGCTGTTGTGGTTCTCCTGCAATAGAGAGAGGAAAATGGGAAGAGAAAAAGAGGATCTAGTCTATATTTCTACTCATTAAGATTACTAAAATTAACATCAGGTTCTCCGTGAACCTTCTTCATTCTTAGAACAAAGATCCAACCTCTGGAATTACCACATTCCAACAGCACTTTCCTAAACAGAATGTGCTAAGATGGCTGTTGTCTTTGTAAAGGGCATGACACTTGAGTAATTGCCATTATCTGTGATTGACCCAGAGACTTCAAGCACCTTCCAATCTCCATCTGTATTTTATAATGGAAATCTTAGGAGGAATGGATAATGTATGTATATACAATGTAGAATGTATGTGCAGCTATGGAAATGAACTGAAATTAAATAATAGAAATACAAGTAATTCTCGATTTATTCATTCAGTGACTATTTAAAGTTACAACAGAACTTAAAAAGTGACCTATGACTGTTTTTCACATTAATGATCATTGCAGCATCCCCATGGTCATGTGATCAAAATCCAGACACTTGGCGATTGGTTCGTATTTATGACATTGCAGTGATATGCAAGGTCATGTGATCACCTTTGTGACCTTCTGGCAAAGTTAATGGGGAAGCTAGACTGAGTTAAAAACTGTTTACCAACTTAACAACTGAAGTGATTCACTTAACAATTGTGGCAAGAAAGGTCATAAAATGGGGCAAAACTCACTTAGCAACTGTCGCACTTAGCAACAGGAATATTGGGCTCAATTGTGGTCATAAGTTGAGGGCTACCTGTATCTTTGCACTTACAAATAACTTACTGAAATTTAATTTAATGAATATTCATAGACCCTTTCTGAACAAGATCTGCTCACTGCCCTGTGGTTTTAAAAAGAAAACATCAAAACATTTTGATGCACTTAAAATGACATTGAAATCAAAGCCATCAATTTAACCATAAAGGACTGAGTTCCTGGCCCACTCAAAACGTTGCATGTGATTATCTTTTTCTGTTCCCACTTTGGAGAAAAACCATGGCATGTTTCCCTTGCCTGTTTCTGCGAAAATTCTCTCCCAGATTCCTGTTGCTGGTTAACCAAGCCCCCATTCCTACTCCCAATGACATGTCCTTGTGCTCATTTGGTTCCTCACCTCAATGTCATGCATGAGCAGCTGTGTGGGGGTCTGCAAAGGGGCCTTGCTGATGATAACCTTCTGCAAAGCACAAACCCAGTGTACAGCTTCATTTAAGTGTTCTGTATAGAGTCGGTAGCAGTGCTTTCTGCCAAAAACTGTCACTGCCCAATAGCCTGCAGGAATGGGAGAGAGAAGTACTCATATATAATTAACATGAAGATAATCATAGATAAATATGAGGAAATTTGACCTACTTTCTTAAAATGCGTGGATTATATTTTCACTATGCAAAAAGGGGTAAAAATTAAAAATGCTTCTTAAATAAATCTATGGACTATGGATATCTTAGTGGCTGACCACAGCCCGGTAAGCAAACTCAAAGATCAAACCTTTGCTGAAATCATTCATTCCTGTTGCCACAAAGAAACTACAAAATTCTTTAACCATGCCAGAGCAGACAGTCCTTACCTGTCTCCTTATAGGTTTGCTTGTCAGGCCACAGCACAGAGCAGAGGCTGGTGAGAACAAGGGATCCAAGCCGCTGGGCGGTCACTTCACACCCACTATAGTAGTCTAGGGAATCCTCTGTTAACACAAACCAGTATTTGCGAGGACGCAACCAGGGCTTTTTAATACCTCCTCGGACCTCTCTCTGCAACCAGCCTGGAAGATGAAAAAAAAGCTGAGTCCCTTCAGATTTAAGATCATTGGATTAGATTGTTTTAAAATTTAAAAGGGGAAAGAAGCAAATCTAAGTGTCCACCTTTCAGAATAGCATCAGGTTCATGTTGCATCCTTCCACAGTTCTCTGTGATAAGACTGTATGTCTCTTCAGTCACTGGCAAAGACCTGAAGGCAGCAAACAGAGTAGAAACAATAGGCATCAGTCAGACCTACATTAATACAAATGAAAGAAGACTGATTGATCTTTCCATAAGAGTAGACCTATCTCTTTCAGTTTTGCCGTCTACCTCCCCCCCAAAAAACCCCAATTTTCTGGGTTATCTATGCCAATCTATGAATTTTCATTTGATAGATCAGGAACCACTATTGAGTAAAGCCAGATTTTAAGTTCTAACAACAGCACTGCATTACTAACACACATAGCTTTACTAAGAAGAGCCTGAGAAGTTTTGAAAAACATTCAGGTGCTTTCTCAATGGATTCTCACTTCTGTACACTTCTATTCTCATATTGGGGTATAATTCACAAGTCTCCCCCCCTTTTTATAAGGAAAGGGAGAGAATATTGCCCCCACTCTACCCCCCCACCCCGTTTCTTCCATAGTTCTGGGAAACTGGTCTGAGATTTTGCACTGTTAACCTCAGACTAAAAATAAGCTGTTTATATAGAAGGGCTGCCAAGAATTTGGGAAAAGAAGGAGCTCAGCTGAAGAGAGGATGCTGGCTGGATTGCGGGGAAGAGATACAGAAAGACAGAGGTCTTGGCATTTGAGCATCAGCATCGAGGGACAAAGCGGGGGAAGGGGGAGGAAAGAAAGGGAAGAAAATGTCTCCTCCTCCCTATTCATGATTCTTTATAGCACATTGCACAAAGTCCAATGTCACAAATTACTGCAGATAAGAAAATTCATCTCTGCAGGCATCCATGGCATTATCGACTACTTTTCTATTTGATTTATCCTAATATCACAATTAGGCTTTGGGGCTCAAGTAAGAATTAAGTATATTCACAGGTTCTTCTTATATCCTCCCCACTCACATCTCCCTATTTCTATCTCATTCCCCTTGTCCCTTTCTCCCAGCAACCTCCTGGAGCAGGATTCTAGTGGCCTCAGCCTCACACACACAAAAACCTTCTACTTCCCTCTGCCTTTTCCCCAAGCCCACCTTGGCAACAGATAAGAAGCAAGAATCACTCGCTCAAATAGTTACTTCCTGCTTGGCTATGCCTGATCCCAACTGGGACTTATTAGCTCTGAAGCAGAGTGGGAGATATATGGGTCGCAGAATTCTTTCCATGGAGTTTTTGGCTTTCCAGCCGAGAACAAACAGAAAACATCAGGATAGAACAGAGCAGACAGATACACTTGGAGGGTATTAATTTGGTCTTAGGGGAGACTTGGGAATTATACCCAATACTAGGATTGAACCCTAAAGTGCGAAGTAATCATGAATGTTATGTTTTCCATTTCTTTTTTTGCTTCTCAGTTTAACAAAGTGTCGGCATAAAGCCTGAAGACGAAACCTTTCCCAGAGGAAAACCATATGGAAAGGAGGGATATGAAGTTTCTGGTCTGGAACAGAGGAGGTTTTAAAGGGGTCAGTCAAATGAATGTTAGGAATCTCCTTTTCTTTCATGAGAACAATAGCCAGAATTAGGACTCTGGTTAACATACAGTATTCTCCCACTAAAACACAGGATCCTTCCCACTACAATGACGGTTGTTCTCTACTCCCCCTTGCCTCATATATACAACTCTTTTATGCTCACCTTTCAGAACAACTGCTAGCACGACTGGGTTGAGTGAGGTTCACTTGTAAGGAAGAGTCCTGGGAGAAATGGGGTGAATAGAGAGAGAAAGAGAAAGAAGAGGAATGTCATCAGGATTCATTCAGAATTGAACATAAAAAGGCATGAGAGTTAGATTTAAGGAGAATGAGGGCAGAAGGCACTCTGGAAGAGTTAGAAATTAGAATTCAAAGATAGATAATATGTTACCTTGCAATTTCAAAATTTATATATTCAAAAGTAAGAGGCTATTTAAACAGAAAATAGGAATGCATAAATAATATTCATACAGGCAGGATGCCTCCCAACCCTTCAAGGAAGTAAATTATTAATTTGCTGCTTTCTCAGGCTGCCTAGTCTGCACTATTGCCCCTCCCAAGCCAGAGTCTGGCTGATCAACCTTCTCACATCCTGCAAGCTGCAGCAGCTGAACAAGTTCCTGTATCCTCAGCCGACCTCGGTGTTGGGCTGCAGTCCCTTCAGAATTGCACAAGCACTCTGTTGGGTAAGATACAGCAAAAAAAAAAAAAAAAAAAAAGTCCTATTGTAGCTAAAGCTCCCTTCCCCTGCAAGGGGAGAAGGTGAAGGAGCAGACAAGTCCTAACAGAAGACAGGAAACTATAGTCTCACGTACCTAATTCATGCAAATCCCCTAACGTTGGCAAAAAATGTAAGCAAGTTTGAGATGCAGTTGTGTGAGTTTGGTGGAATTGTAGGATCTAAAACTTTGTAGTCCCCACAAAGGTGCCCCAAATAAAAATCTAAGCTGCAGGGAGGGGAGGAAGGAAGAGAGAGAGAGAGAGAGAATGAGAGAGAGAACAAGAGGAGGGGAGGGAGAGACTATATATAAAGTCAAACTGAATAGCAAAAAGTAGGGAGCTACTGCAACAGGTATTGAGTAATGGACGGGACACCAACTGTCCTGTGGCATTTTAACACCTGTTGTAACTTGGCCCAAGTTGGCATAGATCATCATGATCCTCTAAGGCAGGGAGACTAGCAACCATCAACAGAGCACGGAAAGATTAAGCAACATCAGAACTGAAAAAAATAAAAGTATCTAGGAAACAATTGCAAAAATTAATTTTCCCTTCATAATTCACTTCTAAAAATTGTGTTCTGGCTTGCAGATATGGCTGGATTATCAACTCCAAAATATGGTTTAAATTATGTCTGAGGCGCTTAGCAAGGACTATAAAACATTTTATACTCTAATATGATGTTCTTGCTTGAAACCTTTTGCAGTTACATAGTGCTTTTCATGTTTCCCAACCACAATTCTTACGTTCCAGTTCCCCAGAACACTGAGACACCACCGAGCTTGTAATTGTTAATGCCATCTAACTGATTTTTAATATTTTCATTCTAGATGAGAAAGAATGGCATGCTTTGCTATTGACAGTTACATGAACATATAGGGAGGGAAAGTAGGGGAAAAAAGACTGAGGACGAATAGAAAGATGCACTTCTGAAAACAGGCATGATGTAAATGTCTTTATTATCATGAGTGGAAAAGACACTGAAAAAAACAAAGCATATCCAAACATTCATGGGATTAACTTTACAACTTTGCAGACTAGCTTTGTTTGAATTAATTACTGAATTTGTAATTTGTAAGCGGACCAAAACAAAAATGACATTTCAGTAATGCTGAATATGTACAACTTTATAATTCTTCAGTTTTATTTTATCCAATTTATTTTATTTAATTTATTCAGTTTTATTTGAGTGAATCAAAAGAGTACAGCATTATATCCTATTAAAATCAGGTCATGTTCTGATTCCTTAATTCTGTTCTTACAACTTGTAGAATACGAGGGTTGAAAAATATCCTTCCTTCAATTACTGGCTATCCTTTCTGCTGCAGCCGGTTGACAGCCATTTTATCTCTAAAAAAAGCTTCTGTCAGAAATTTACAGTAACTTATCTAGAATTCAATTCCCATCAATTAAAATGAGAAATATGAAACTTCAAATCTTTAGAACGCTCTACAGATTTTCATTAAAACAATGAATGATATGGATCATACCTCTGAGACACACAGAACTAACATATGACACAATGTGTGGTAGGAAGAGTGGATAAGGAAAAGTCCGACCGCTTGCAGAGTAGCTCCCTCATATTGCCACTGCCATTATTTACTTTCAGCTATTTCTCTCATTGCCTACTGGTAAAACAGCTGTTGCCCAGTCCTTACCTAAATGAAGATACCTGCCTGACAAAAGTATATTTATTGTTTGGGACTGTCGCCTGCACAAGCTGCCAGCTCAGATATACAATACACATTTTCTCAAGCTCTGACATACAATCCAGCTTTCAAGTCATGACTCTTGGTTGCATACAGATTATAAATAAAATAAATATCATCATGTCCAGCCTGACTTGGACAAATGGCTGATGTAACACATTCAGCTTCCTTATTTGTGCTGAGAAGATCAGGTTTGACTTAATACCACACCAAAAAATAGCTAGAAAAGAAGAGAATGTGCAATTTGTAACAACCTGGTTGATGGTCTACTGGAAGCACTTTATTTTCTTTGTCACTTTTAAATTGGTGACCATAGCATTGGTATCTGATCAGCTATTATTTTTCTTTATCAGCAACAAATACTTGCATTTTTATATTTGAAGTTAAAAAGAGTACGCGTGTTGTGTTTCTCTTAAAAAAAAAAAGTTAAATTTGATTTTGTTTGTATTTAACGGGATTGGTCTCAAAGAAAGAAGAAGGGATGAATCTTATTTACACAAAAACCTCTAGGTTACATGGCCAGGAGATTGCTTTCTTGTATTTTTATCATTCACTCACCAGAAAGGTAGCACAGATTGTGAGACTCCTACTTCTCTCATATAAAAAGGTCAGGGGCAAAGGTAACAGGTGAAGTTCCAGAGAAAAAGAAGTGGTGATAGCAGGAACTAACAAGCTGATATCCCAAAATAGGAGACGTGGAGACAAAAGGGCTTAAGAGAAAGAATAGTAAAGCCTCCTCACTGGCTTAGCCATTCTATTACAGTTCTGAATTCTGATTTATAAAATTCGGAGCAGCTTATCCAAATACCCAGAGAGTTTTAGTGATCCAATGTAAAAAATTGTTTATTGGTAATAAAGACTTACATTGCAAAAATGTTTATTTTTAAAATATCTTAACTTTTCTTGAACCAGGACTTCTGTTGAAAAACCAGTCATTCTAAGGATTTTTTTAAAATGAGCAGGAAATTAAAATAGACATCTTTCATCCTCAAATCAATATTCCCCTTATTTGGAATTTTATACAGGAAAAGTAGAATGAAAATAGTGCATTTAAATTTAAATAAAGACCATATGCAGAACACTGAGAAGAATATATTTTTTAAAAAAAATCAGTAGCGAGAAAAACTATCAATAAATATAGAACAAGGAGTTCAAGTGGGAAGGTTGCTCCTGAGTAAAGGCTACATTTACATAATTGTATTTGATCAAATGCAATATCACGGCATAAATTTTGTTTGGTAGAAGTGCCAAGTAGAACTCTATGTGCTGTAAAATTGAATAACTATTTATCATGGGAAAAAATTCCTCTGATTACATCACACAGTTAGAACATAAAGCTTAAATAAAAACTGCTGAAAGGGAATGCTTGACCAAAACCTCAAATGTTAAAGATTTATAGAGTATTGACTTTCTACAATGGAAACAATGGCAGGAAGAACTTTTTCAAGGGTACAATAGCTTCCAAAGTACAAAAAAAAAAAGCTGCCTTTTTAAGCAATTAGTTTTGGTTGAAATAGCATATGCACATAGATGTATTTCCAATTAAAATTAAGAGTCTATGTTTCCATTTGCTCCATCTTTCAGTTCTGCTTCCTGGCAAAAAAAAAAAAATGTGGGACTTGAGCCAATGATCTATCGTACCTCAAATACGGCAGTTGCCCTCTGAATAGGCAACATTTTGGCACGCCTACTTGACAACTACTGCACAACGACTTCAGTTTCTGATCTCTCCAACTTGACAAATGAGAAGTTCCCATTTATCAGAAGATCCTAGTAACTTCATGCAAAAGGCTACAGACAGTATGAGCGTATAATTTAGGGGTCAAAAAAGCTAACAGCAGGATAGTCATAGAGGTTTTATATAATAACCATGATATAGAAAGAGAACTATTCAGAATCTTTTAATTAAGCTGGCAGAAGATTCAGTAGCAAAAAAGAGAAAATTTTAAATTATTGCATATTTAAGTCAGCATATTACCAGAAGATGCAGTAGCCATGGATTGAAAATCAATTTTCTTTAGCTTGGCATTTATTACACACTCTGGGATACTATTCCTGTAACCCTCAGCCAGTCATTTGTATTAAAGCAGAGCAATTTATGAAGAAAAAAGTATTTTCAGAGGGTCTTACAGCGAAATCAAAATGGTAGTTTCAAGGGCATTCTTTCTTTTTCATATCAAGGAAGAGCAAAGGAAGGCTGTTGTTTCTCAGAACTTTTTATTTGATCACTTGGAAATAGGAGGATGGATTGGGAGCTTATCCAGAATTACTCCTCATTTTAACCCTGATATGGACCCTGTCTGGATTCTCAATTCTCAGAATAATCCTATTGTTATGGTGTAATAACATTTGTTATCCTTTTTCTTTTAATTGATCACATATACTTCCCAAGTTCTTGCTCAGAAGGATTATGCAGCAAATGCTCCTCGGCTACTGAAAGTCAAGGTGGGGTTGAGGAAATGCTCCAAAAATAACATGCACCCAAATACCCCATCTCCCACTTGGCACTTCCCTGTAACATAATTTTAGCACAGGGCATTTTTGTCTCCCTACCCTCAACTTGCCATCAAAATATGGTTTCAAGATTTCTCCTTAATGGATGATTGGGGAGCGAGGAGGAAAGTAAAAGGGTACAAATCTGTTATGCAGGGACATAACAAACGTAGGGGGATAGGTTATTACCCACCGAACAGATGATTCTCAGAAAACCAGTTTTTTTCCCCACCTTTGGAGTTCTAATAGATTTGTAGAAAACAAAGGAACTCTAGGCCAGTTTCTTCTAGCAGTTATACTGAACTGCCTCAACATGTTAAGTCTCGTTCAGCTTGATGGTGAGTTTTTTTACCTAAGGAAGAAAGCTTGAAAGAGAAACTCCCAGAAAAGAAAATGTATCCAGCACATCTGAGCTGTGAATTAAACTGAACTTTTTAAAGATCCCTTGGGGATTTAAAACTAGCCAGTCCTCCAGCCAACCACCCACACCTCAATTTAGTTTTGTCAGAGAGGACAGCTTGGCCTTTTTACTGTGCCAAGAAGTGACGCCATGAAAAAGATTATCCAGACAAAGGAAAGATTTCCTTGGGGGCTGAAATTTTTCTGCTCCAATATAGGCAACATCATGCCTTTAAAACATAGTTTCATTTGAACTAGACCTCAGCAATCTGAGTTTGATTGGAATGAAAAAGATTTTAGATATGCGGTAAAGCCAATATTTATGTTCAGCAGGTAGAAAGTATTTATAAAAATCTAACTCTCTTGCACTAGTCAAGAAAACCTGAATGTAATTTCTTCAAATGCACAGAGCTGTTATGTATTCCCTATTTGATTCCCAAAATCCAGTTTGGAGCAGAGTGCAAATATAGCAGCTGTTTGTAACTCTAGAAAAGAACTCTAGAAAAAGAGGTGACTGCTTTAAAGAGCGCAAGAAGTCCTTGCATACTTGTGCAGACAGTTGGTAAATAAGAATGGAAGAAACAGTTCATCTTGTAGCCAACTTGGCTACTTTTTCGGAAGGGAATGACCTGATTCAAATGGCAATGGCAGAGGAATTATTTTTCTGCTTCTTAGGGAGAACAGAACAGTAGAACAAAATATGGGGTAAGAGACCTGAAGGCTTTACTATGAACACTTCGGCAACATTTTGATGTTTGGGCTTTATATGCTAGCAGCTAGCTGATCATGTCAATCAACACTCAGCCTTGCTCTCCATCACTTTGAGGCTGAGCTCTTTGACCCTCTGTCGTAATTAAAAGGAAACAAGGAAGACATTCCAAGCATCCAAGACAACAGCTTGTCCTATATAAGTCATGGCAGAGGCATTGCATAAATATGAGGAAACATTAATTTTTCTGCTCACCTGGGTCAGCATACCATTCCTGCAATTGGATTAAATGAAAGGTGAAGGACATGTACCCTCCAGATTTTGCTGTTGTAACAGCTTCAATTAGCATAGTCCATTTTCATGGGTGACGGGAGTTACCATATAGCAACACCTAGAAGCTCACACATTTAGGTTAATTTGATTTAGCTTAAAAAGTTTGAAAATGGAGAGTATACTGCACATACTTGTGGATAAATCTATTCATGGATAATTCAAACCTGATTTTGGCACTTAAAATTCTCAATTTATCTATTATATACAATAAAAGGAAGGCAGTTAGCTACTGAGATATAATAAAATCCCTGTGGATTAACACTGAGAAAATCAATCAGATTAGAAGAGGAAAAAGATGAGAATTAAACCAACAACAATAAAAAAAGAGAATCCTCCACCAGAATAACACTTCTTCCAACAATGAATCTGAAGGTATGAAATTATCTTATGAAAGATAGCTGTCCTGTAATGCCAGTACATTTGAAGGACATAAGGCTAGAAAGGCAACATCAAGGCATGTTCTTTTGCAATTCTTTAAAATAAAGCAATCCAAGAAGAATGTTGGCCCGCATTTAATCTGATTGGATCCGGTCAGTGAGCACGTTCTAAGTTAATACTTAGTAGTACCAGAAGACCTTCCAAACAGAAAAAAAATTCCAAGGATCACTTTACCTTCTTTTTATTATTGCATCCTTAGTATGTACATAAGATCTTTTAAGTCCCCAGCAGAGGGGTATGAAACGCATCGAGGCGCGCGTTTTCTTCCCTGACCACAAAAAAGATAGTTTTTCCTTCTAGCTCTCGAAAGAACTCCTAAAAGAATGGAACGAAGTTCTGAGGTTGCTCCTGCCCGCGCACAGCTCACCTCATCGCCTTGCCTGCGTAATTCAAATGATTCTTCAACTTCTTCACTGGCTACCCCCTTGCTCGCTTCACAGTAGTCACGTCGCAGCAAGGTGAAGCCTTGCCTGCAGCACAGCAGCCACCATAAGCCGCCGGGGAACGGCATCCGTAGCTTCGGTCTGTGCAGTAAAAGCAGGGCAAGGAAGGAAGGAAGGAAGGAAAGGAAGGAAGGAAGGATTGGGCTGGGTTGGTTGAGGCGCCCAGGGCGCGCTTAGAGAAAGCGAAGGGAACCTTTTGGTGTCTTGACCTAGCCGTCTGATCCGCTTGCTTAACCGGGCTCTTGCCCCGCCACCGCTCTCCCCGCCCCAGTCCAGGAGCGGGGGAGGGGCACGTCACGGCAAGGCCCTGCCGGTTGCCCAAGAAAGTGCCACCCTTTCCGGCGGGGCGTGGGGGGGCCGGCGGCGGCGGTATATTTCATCACGTGGGTTGACTTGGCCGGGAACGGTCGGTGCGGGTGTCTTCTCTTTCTTCGTTCCCTTGGTTGGAAACGGAGCTGCAGTTGGTTACCAACATTGAAATGCTTCATGAAAAGCATAAAATATGTGCCAAAAGCGTCACTGGAACAGGATGCTGTAGAATTTATTTCCCGGATAATGAAAAGCGGGAGTGGGAAGGGGTACGAAGAGACTGAAAGTTTGAAGAGCAGCAGGAAACCTGGGACAATAAAAAGCATCATTCTTAAATAATTGGGGCTCTCCGCACCTTCTACTGACACTTAGACCGGCCAACTATATTTTAGACTACCGTTTATGAGAATTACTGCAGATGAAGTACAGTAGTGATAGCTCTGTCCTGCAATTCCAATAAATTGGGTTAAGATAACACGAGAATGCTGCTAATAAGTTAACGATAGGATAACTTCACGATAGGAATCGGTACTGTAGAAAACGTCTTGGCTTTCAGGTGACCTTGAAGCAAAATCAAAAGTGTGATATCCAACGTATGTGAAAAACAATTATTTTGGAAAAACACTTTTTATTTCTTCTCTCCGAATGATTAGAACTAGCGCGTTTATGGATTCTGGATTGCTAGGTCAGTAGCAGATATCAGGTAGATAAGTTAATTTAAATTTAAATTAAAAATAACACTATTTTAATCCAGGTATTATTTCATTGCAGAAGGCCCACACTTGCAGTTGCCAGTTTTTTTTTTTTTTTACAATGGTTGGCAGTGAAGCTGAAACTCATTTTGGATTGAAAGGCAAATGTACCAATTTGTTTACCAAAAAGGCTTTCTGGAGTCTCTCTAGTACAACTTTGGTAACTTTAAAGTCTGTGGAGTTTAACTCTAGAAATACTGCTCTGGCAGTATTAATAACTATGCTTTCAGCTACTAATTCATAAACCAAATATGCATCCACCTCATGTTATCCCTTCCTCAGATTATATACATTTTTATTAATGTTTGCAATTTTCCACCTTGACCTGAAGTAATCATTTTGAAAATTGGAGTTAGTAATTTACAACATATGTAGGTTAGCTCTCAGTACCAAGTATCATAATTATCATATGCATGGAGCCTGCATATTCATAGTCAGTGTATTATTAAGTAACAGGGATTATCCATGCATGCCTCTGTGTGTGTGTGTGTGTGCTTGCATGCTTCGTGACCTGACTTGGAGCTTCCCTTCTGGTTAGTCATTGTGGGAAACAGGATGTGGACTGGATGGGTTTTGGGGCTTTTTCAGCTTTTTGTTCTGCTGTTAACTCTTGTTTCTTCTTAGCTATTTTTGAATAATGAGATTTGCAGTTACTGAAAGTGACATTCTGTCCAGCTTATCTCATTGATTTTGTATTTGGTTATGGATAATTCTGTAGAATCTCCTCCGCAAATCTTTTTTTCTCTGCAAGATAATAAGCAAGTATTTGTAAACTGGAAAACATTCAAACTTTTCAACTTATTTCCATTAGTACCACAAATACGGTGTGCTTTTTAAAAATGAAACAGTGCAGTTTTAAAACAATATAGGTTTACCATCTACATTGATCTGAAACATTTTAGAATATTTGAAGATAGAAGTTAGTCTTCACCAGCTGTAAGGAATTTACTCAAACTTTGGAGTTGCCAGGGTGTAATTAATTCCATGATTTCCCCAATTAAGGAGCTGCTCCAAAGTTTCCACAGAAGTTCCAGCAGGCAAAATTGCGATAGCTATAAAGAAAGTATGACTTCACTTCACCCCAGAAAGTCTCATGGAAGAAGAATAAAACTTACCATACTTTTGCAGCACCAAACTCAAAACCAAACACCCCACCCCATATGGCTGCTTTAAGGGAGGGAAAAACAAAAGAAATCACCTGCTTTCCTAATTGCTTAATTGAAACTCTCTATCTCTCTCTCTCTCTCTCTCTCACACACACACACACACACACACACACACACACTTTATGCATATCTCGGAAGTTGTTAAATTATGGGAAGAAACAACAATTAGAAGAAACAAATAGATTCCTTAAATTGGATCTTTAGGTTAAGAAAGTTAATCTAAAACACTTGATTCTAAAGGCTCTGTAGAAGTAATTACACTTCAGAAAAATTGTTTAGTTCAATCAGTATTTAGCCTCGCAATTACCATCTCTCTCCCTGGAAACCATCCAAGTTGGTTTTTTTTAAAAAAAACTAATAATCATTAATTAATCATTATTCTGGACTAGAGATGAGATTCTAAAATATTCCCATAATTCAAATATTTTTACTTTTAGTATTGCATAACCTCCTCTATCTTTAAATAGACAATTTCTACTCAGAAACTGTTGTTCTATCTTTCCTCCTTTAACATTCCTTTTGTTTTTAAATTTGAAAAATTGTGACTTCCTTGCCAATATTTCTACCGGTAGATGGAATATAATTTCCACAGAAATAATACTGTGCACAAATTTGAGATAAAGCATCAATGTCCACATTTCTCATTTTATTTATTTATTAAATTTGCCTTCTATCCTGCTGCAAGGTGACCCTAGGTAGTTCACCCATCAAAATAAAATTATTTATATCTAAGTCTATATAAATGTATAAAATCACCATAAAAGTACAATAAAAATACAGGTTATAACTCAAAGATGGGGAGGAAGGGAACAATTTGTTTTGAATCTTTAAATAAAAACAAGAAAGGCTGTCAGAGCACAACAAATTGAAAAATGACATTGCCATATTCATACTAGAAGCCTGGCATTATTCAAACTTCTGAATCTAGCAGTTTCCACCATTAAAGTTTAACAGATGCCGAACATGTTTGAGCTTGCCCTGGCTCACAAGTTGGGTCAAGCAGCATCTCAGTGAAATTAGGTGTGTTTAGCCTGAGTTGTTGGAGTTTGAAAGTGATAGTGGTCAAGGAGCTAGGCAAATTGAGGGTGTGAAAAAAATGGAGAGGATTGTAGTTGTGACATGCAGAGGAAAATAGAATAGAAGCTAGGAATCAATTCGTTGCAATAAGAAAAGATTGCAGTGGCCTTGGACTTAGCTGGGTTCAATGAGTGATAAGTCTGAAGGAGCAGAAAGCTCTGCTGGCATGGATGATCTTCTATAATTAGTGCTGAAGGAGCAGAAAGCTCTGCAATAGCTTATTAACTTGATTAAATATGGTTAAATATGGATAGAAGGTTTCTCTGTCCAAAATTTGCCTAGTTAGGTTTAAGTGGTGCACCAACATCAACTCCAGAGCAAGAGAGGATAGCTGAAGTTAATATTCCATGAAAATATGATGGGTGACTTGCTATTTGTTTCATGGATTGCAAGATTAAGGTCCTATATGTGCTGGGTGCGGGGAACAATCTGTGTCAGTTCTCCCAGCTCCCAGTTTTCCCAGGCAGGAAACATGACTAGATGGACTAATTCTACCTTATTGTAAGGGTACATTAACAGAATTGTAGAAGTCTGAAGTACTGACTTCCTGTTGCCACTTTTAACTGCTTGATCCATTAGGGGAGATCCTTTCTAAGTTTCTTTCTCTGACAACTAAGCCACTGGGATCTCTGCCTCTCATGTCTGATTGTTTCCTAGGCAGCATCCCTTCCCCTCATTCTCCCAAGATTATTCACATAGTTCCATTAGTTTCTGAGAGTTTTGCTAGATTGTTGCCTCCCTTGCTGCCTAAATAGCTCCTTTCCAAGATGCTCAGCATCATTACTATGTTGGTAATTTACTTCCCCAGGCTCTTTGTGTTAAGGAATTTCAACCTACATACCTAGGTTGCATGATCACAGGTTACCAGCTTGGGAATTTATGACTACTCATGGTCTGTGTTTTAAACTGTCACAGTCACAACTCAGAGGCAGCTACAGCCTGGTTTGAAATTCATCTCAGAAATATCTGGTTTGTGATTTGAGGATGGGTGACTCTGCCTGCCTGCCTGCCTGCCTGCCTGCCTGCCTGCCTGCCTGCCTGCCTGCCTGCCTGCCTGCCTGCCTGCCTGCCTGCCTGCCTGCCTATCTATCTATCTATCTATCTATCTATCTATCTATCTATCTATCTATCTATCTATCTATCTATCTATCTATCTATCTATCTATCTATCTAATCTATCCATCCCTTTTCAAAGCAACTGGGCAGCTTACAGCATTAAAAACATTTAAATCATAAAATAAATATTTCTTAAACAAAATAGAAATTACAATTAAAAATAAAATTGTAGTTAAATGATGGGAAGGGAAGGAGCAGGATCTGGGGTCTACAGCTTGCTTCCTTTGCTGGCATGGACAGGACAGTCCAGTCCCAGGGGACAAAACAGTTCCTCAAGTAACCTGCAGCCATGCCCTGCAGGACTTTAAACGTAATAACAATTGCACCGGGAAGCAAACCAGCAGCTTGTGCATCAGTAGTGCAACCTGGGGGAGCAGTAGTGCCACATGGTCCGCCCTAGACATCCCAAGAATTGCCCATGCTGCTCACTCTGCACTAGTTGAAGCATCTGAATGTTCTTCAAAGGTAGCCCCTTGTAGAGCTAATTGCAGTAGTTCAGACATGGTAAAGGTAAAGGTTCCTCTTCCACATACTTGCTAGTCATTTCGGCTCTAGGGGGCAGTGGTCTGTTAAAAAGCCAAACAGCCAGCGCTGTCCAAAGACGTCTCATGTGGTCATGTGGCATTTCATTCAGGATTCT